CCTCTAAAACATGCAGGATAGCGGCCCTCGAGGACAGGAGTTTGACACCCCTGACTTAATGGAAACACTGCAGTTGCAAAACTGTGTTTTTTAGACATTAACAGAATATCAACAAAGCTTTGCGCACATTTGTAATGGAAACACAGCTAGAGAGATGAAGAGTCAGAGTTCAAATAATATTGTTTCAATAAACAAAGACCAGAGTTTTCTTTGTTAAAGAGTTCCCCTTTGATGTCACTTCCTGTTTAACTTTGGCTGAGCCAAGTTCAACAGAAAATATGTCAATTATGAGACAAAATGGGTTAAATCGTGTGTTATTCCAACTCTCTCAACTATAAAGATGTTTTCTTTGAGTTCTTTGTGTTTGAGGAGTATGCATGTCACAGACACTTTAAGTTAAATATGAAATTATTTTTAATCTTCACTGCATGTTTGTTTCTGTGGAGACTGAAAGTTTAGACTCAATAATAATAAAATATAATAAATCTTTAACCAACAACACTAAACTCTGTTCAGTTAAACCTTTGATCAGTGACTCTTTACACATGAAGGTCAAACAGGAACAGGAATAAAACCTGGCTGTTTCAAAATAAGAGCACAAGATAACCTCGGTTACATCCATGGTCCTGTGCTCACCTGTCTGACTCACCTGTGTGTCCACAGCCTGTGCTGCCTCACACAGCCGTGTGTTTTGCATGTGGAGAGGCGGGGAAGGAGGACACGGTGGACTCTGAGGAGGAGAAGTTCAGCCTGTGTCTGATGGAGTGTACCATCTGTAACGAGATCATCCACCCCAGCTGTCTGAAGGTCAGTCCCAACAGGTCTCTGCTGGTCTCAGGTCAGTCTGGCTGGTCTTAGGCTGGTCTCAGGTCAGTCCCAACAGGTCTCTGCTGGTCTCAGGTCAGTCTGGCTTGTCTTAGGCTGGTCTCTGGTCAGTCTGGCTGGTCTCAGGCTGGTCTCAGGTCAGTCCCAACAGGTCTCTGATGGTCTCGGGTCAGTCTGGCTTGTCTTAGGCTGGTCTCTGGTCAGTCTGGCTGGTCTCGGGTCAGTCTGGCTGGTCTCAGGTCAGTCTGGCTTGTCTTAGACTGGTCTCGGGTCAGTCTGGCTGGTCTCGGGTTGGTCTCAGGTCAGTCTGGCTGGTCTTAGACTGGTCTCGGGTCAGTCTGGCTGGTCTTAGGCTGGTCTCAGGTCAGTCTGGCTGGTCTTAGACTGGTCTCGGGTCAGTCTGGCTGGTCTCGGGTTGGTCTCAGTTGTATATCTGATGAATCTGTGGAGTTGATGGTCMRGATGTTTTGTTTCCTCCTCAGATGGGCAAAGCTGAAGGAATCATCAACGATGAAATCCCAAACTGCTGGGAGTGTCCAAAGTGCCACAAGGAGGGAAAAACCAGTAAGGTAAGGGTCAGACCGGTCCTGAGGGTCTCCACAAATCCAGCCTGAGGAACTGAAACCTGCTCTGTTTGTGTCCAGGACCAGACGGACGGCTCAGGGAAACGGAAGCTGGATAACGGAGAGGAGGGGCGCTGGAAGCTCATTGAAGACCCGCCCCCAAAAAAGAAAGCCCCTCCCTCCCTGGAGGAGGCAGGGAGAGGAGAGGGGGTCCACAAGAAGAAGAAGGAGAAGGAGCAGCCTCCGGACATCGGGGCCAAGAAGAAGGTGAGCTCAGCTCCGGTCCAGCTGCAGACTGGGACTTCAGTTCTGTTTGGTTCTGCTGGGTTCTGTTGGATCAGTGTGTTATCTGAATGTGCAGCCACTCTTCCTCTGTTCACCTGTTCTTCATCCTTTGTGTTCTGCAGGTGAAAAGTCCGCATGAGAAACGCCTCAAAAAGGTACAGAACAGTTTTTAATCAGTTTCTTCTTTTACACAGTAATAAATCAGTAATACAGCAGTAATACACAGTAATTATGTAGTAATAAATCAGTAAAACAGTAGTATTAAAACAGTAATATAATAGTGGTAATAAAGCAGTAATAAAGCAGTAAAACAGTAGTATTAAAACAGTAATATAATAGTGGTAATAAAACAGTAATAAAGCAGTAATAAAGTAATATACAGAAGTTTTAATCCTAAACGTGATTTCTGTGTTCAGAAACCCAAGCAGGAGTCGGAGACCAACGGCCCCATGTCATCTTCTGGGGGAGCAGCTGCGGGACAGCAGGGCTCAGCCTCTTCCTCCTCCTCTTCATCTCAGTCAGTGGGCGGGGTCAGTGGAGGAGGCGGAGCAGGAGGCTCGGCGTCGAGCGTGGACCAGCGCTCCCACCACAGAGAGAAACTGGAGCGGTTCAAGAGGATGTGTCTGCGCCGGCCCGAGCTGTCGTCCTCCTCTTCCTCCAGCTCAGAGTCCGACTCCGAGTCCGACTCTGATGACTCCCTCAGGGGGGAGCAGGGGGGAGGGTCCTCACCTTCATCTTCCTCCCCCGCTCCTCCTCCTCCCGCCGTCTACGGGAACAGCAGCGGCAGCCGGGCGGACAGGGAGCGGAGCCGCAGCGAGCGGGAGAGGGCGCGGCGGCTGGCTGAGCTGGGCTTCAGCGCCAGCGAGGAGTCGGAGGGGGAGGGAGGGAGGG